CTCTCTCTCTCTCTCTCTCTCTCTCTCTCTCTCCCTCTCTCCCTCCCTCCCTCTCTGCATCTTGCAGAGGACTGCTGCAGGAAGGTTTTCATGACTGGCATCATCCAAATATACTCATCCCTTTATAAACCCTTGGCATCTTTACAACAATATAGAAAATGATAATGGCCTGCATCTGTTTATAAGCTGCTTTTAATTATTATTCTTGAAATGAGAGTTATTTGCTTTTTAAACTAAGGACCTACTCAACTCACTCTCCTACAGAGTATCTGCATGACCTTAGGTAAGTTACTTCACTGTTCCAGCTGTCTCATTTGAAAAATGAGGGTGTAACACTGCACTGACTGACCTGTAATGGTTGGAGGAGTTAATGTATGTAAAGTTCCCAGATCATAAATGCTCCATGAGTGTCAGCTATCACCGTCCCGAGTCTGTGTTAAGATGCCCAGATATTGCATCTTTGGATTTATCATCTCATTCTAGCACCCCATCCTGTCAAAGGTGCAATTCTATTATGTCCCTTCTGAGTCAAAGAAAAGGAAAAGGAAGATGATAACAATACAGAATGAAGCTGGACATGCTGGTGCACAACTTTAGTCCCGGCACTGAGGAAGCAGAGGGAGGTGGAGCTCTGTGAGTTCCAGGCCATCCTGGTCTAGAAAGCCAGCTCTAGGACAGTCAGGATTGTTACACAAAGAAACTGTGTATTGAAAAACAAAAAAAAAATCCAATAACAAACAAAAAACAAAACGAAGAAGGGGAAGAAGAAAAGAAGAAAAAGAAGAGGAGGAAGAGGAGGAAGAAGAGGAGGAGGAGGTGGTGGTGGAAGAGGAGGAAGAAGAGGAAGTGGAGGAAGAGGAAGAAGTTTTAAGTTTTGGTCTTGTGCTATCTATTTTGTAATAGTAAGCTGAGGACCCCAAGAAATGGTTGCCCGAGAGACTAGAGAGTCCACACATACATCTTGGAGCCAAATAATTCTTATTGGTAAATAAAGATGCCAACAGCTAATAGCTGGGCAGAAGGCACATAGGTAGCATTTAGGTTTCCTGGGCTTTGGTGTCAGAGAAGGATCACCAGGGAGTTGCAGGAGTAGAAATAGAAGAAGACGCTGCCATGTGTTAGGTGAGCCATGAATACATGGCCCTGTGGGCTGGCCCATTGGAGTTAAGAACAATCTATTTGAAACATAGTAAATAGTAATTAATAATTAAGCAGTATTTATAAGAAACTAGATTCTAAAAGAGAGGGTAGGCGTCTCCCCAACATTTGTACTGTTTAAGGTCTATTGTAAACAAGAAAGTTCAGTGTGTCTTTTATACAGGAACTAAATGACCTATAAGGTGAGGTAGAAACCCTGGGACAGTATTAAATAATTTCTACAACCAAGAACGAATGATTCCAAACCAGGGCACACCTCAAAGTCCACACTCTGCTCCACGTAGGATGCTGCATAGGATTGGAGGCAGGTTCATGGTGCCTCATCCTCTGTCAGCCAGGCCAAACCCCACTCCACCTGCCCCTACTGACACAGGGAGTTAGGATAGGTCTCAGGGCATGATTGACACAAGCCTGGGCCAATCCAAGAACTTACTGCAGTGTTTCTCTGCCCAACATCTACAGAATCCCAACACTGCAGATACCATTGCCACCTTCAGGCCGGGGGATGTGGTCTGGTCTTGGTTGTGTTCTTGGTACATAGGAGTAATCAACATCAACATTCTCACAAACCCCCAGGCTTGTACACACTGCCACTAAGAGACCAGGTCCCCAGATGTATCACCCACCTGGAGTAATCTTGCAGGTCTGGTTGGTTATGGAGAATTGATTTTCTCTCTTTCCTACAGTTGCTGTGCATTCTCCAGTGGCCTAGAAGAAAAGAAAAAAGGCATTTGATCTAATCTTTCTTCCTAAGGGAAACACTTGGCTAGTGCTGTCATTAAATATAGCTTAAAAAAAAAAAGAAGGTCTTTCTCTAATAGAATTTTTGTTTTGTTTTCTTTAGATTTACCTGTTCTTATGCATGTGAGTGCTCTTCTGGATGTGTGTCTGTGCACCGCATGTGTACCTGGTGCCTGCAGAGCCCAGAGCACAGCAGCAGAAGCAATGGAACTAGAGTTTCAGAGGGTTCTAAGTGTGCATCTGGGTGTTAGAAACCCGACCCAGGACTCCTCACGAGCAGCACACTCTTAACCACTCAGAAGTCTTTCCAGCCCATTAACAAACTTGTGAGACATGAGAATGAATACCTATGTGACCTTGTGGTTGTTTCCACAGGCCACTGATCTTCACGGATAAGGGGAGAGGCAGAGTAAGGCCTCTAAACTTGAGCCTTGATGTGGAGTTCTGTGGCTGCTTCTCTCTCACCAAGATGGATGCTGTGCCTCAGGCCCAACAGGGTGAGCTTCCTCTTTGATGTCCCCTCAGTTTCAGTGGTGCCCACTCTTTACATAAACTTCAGTTTAACCTCTTAGAACGTCCCACTTGCACACTGCTGGCTGCTAGTTGTTCCTGCTGCCCTGGTGCCTCTCACTGCCTCAGTTTACCCACCTTGTGGAAACAACACCACAGGTACTTGACACATTTTGTCACCATGAACAGCTGATGACTGTCTGAGGTGACAGGTGACCCTGCCTTAAACAAGTGCCTGGGAACCAAGTGGTCAGGTGTGCCCCACACTGGACACAGGCTCCATACGTGATCCATCAGGCTACCAGGCTCATGTAAATCTCACAGCACCCTGAGGTCTGCATAGGGCAGGCTGGGCTTTTGTATACAGAGCACACTCACGGCTTCCTCAGCGTTCTTCAAGTCGCAGTCCTGCCAGGTGACGCCACTCTGAACAGAGCAGTTGCCCTCCTTGATTTGATACTTGAAGGAATAAAATGTTTCAGAGCCATCCTGAGGAAAGCAAGATGACACCCAGAGTCACTCAGGGGACCAGCATCAAGTTTGTGAACCCTGACACATTACACACACCAGTCCTGATCAGACTCAAGGAAAGCCGTGTTTATTAAAAAATAAGTGTTTACATTTGTATAAATACACCTTGGAAGAATATTCATAATATGCCTATATTCTCAATGATTGCAAAGCAGTATCTATAGCGCTATCCCTGCCCTCTTTTATGTAAACTCTGGTTTACATGTATGTATATATACATGTTCAATGTGTCTGGTTGTCACTGAGCATAGAGCAAAGCCTGGAATCCCAGTAGCACAGTTGGTGGATTGAGACTGGAGGACCTTGAATTAACTGCTCGGAGAGCTACAGAATGAGGCCCTGTCTGAGAAACCCCAAGAACCCGGGCACAGCTTAGTGGTACAGTGTTTGCCTGACATGTGCCCTGGATGGATCCTGGGGACAGGGAGAGGGCTACAAGGACATTGTACAACAAAATTCCCATGGCCCCATCTGTCAGTCAATGGAGACACTAGGGGACTGTGGTCCTGACTGGAGGAAGCCAACTGAAGGCTGGACTGCAGTGAGAAACTAAAGGCTTCATTCACTTCTGAATCACACACTCCTGTGTCCCCTAGGGCTTTCTTTTTGTCTTCATGGAACTAAAGGATGGTATTTTCTTTCCTGCTGAAGTAGTGTAGTCACCCCAAAGAAAGTCTTTTAAGTGAAATATATTTATTGAAAGCATTTTAAATTTCAATTGTATTTTGTTTTTATTTTAAGAGTAGGAGTGTATGCCCTAATGTATGTCTATATACTACATGTGTGCCTGGAGGTCAGGATGGCCAGAAAACTCAGCAAAGTCCCTGGAACTGGAGTGATAGATGGTTGTTAGCTACCATGGGTGCTGGGAACTGACCCCAGGTTATCTCCAAGAGTAGCCACTACCTTGAACCACTGAGCCATCTCTCTAGTCTGTAAACTTTATTTTTTAAAAAAATCTTAAAGATTGTTTCCCTCTAATGTATGCATCCTGTTTTCATTGTTTCCTGCCTGAGTGAACTGACAAACAAGTAAGAATATTATAAAACCGGCCAAGATGTGCTCTGGATGGAACTTAGGTTGTAAAGTCCTTGTCTAGCATGCAGAGTCCTGAGTTTGCTTCCCCAGTATCACATAAACCTGGCTACCTGTATTCACAGCACTGGGAAGATGGAGACAGGAGGATCAAAAGTTTCAGTTCATTGTCAGCTACATAGTAAGTTTGTGGTTAGTCTAAAGGTACATGACACCCTGGTTCAACCCTCTGTTCCCACAAAATTAAGAAAGCTAGGGGAAACATTGCTATTAACCTCAAAGAATCAGCCACACACACTCGGTGCTAGATACCTGGTCCAAGCAATAATGCCAACCCTCTTCTTATTCCCGGTATCCATCCCCGTGAGGAACTCCCACTTAGGGCTGGGAGATGGATGGCTCAGTTCACAGATGCAGTGGGTTCTCCTGCTGCAAGCTGACTGAGTGCTGGATTCCCCACTCTGCCTGTCCCTTTCAAACATCTCCATCTACTTTGGTTTCTTTCTTCCTGGGATACTGCTTTCATGATCACCCAGGAAGCCTAAGGACTAGCCATCTCCAGCCTCTACCCCTGTGCCTGAGAGCAGCAATTACAAGTGGTTTCACAGGAAAGCTGTCACTCACCGTTTTAGTGCCCTCGGTCACTCGGTACAACACAAACTGGTTGCCGCTTTGTAACCCAGCATTATACTTCCTCAGAGCAGTATCCACAGCCTGAAATACAGTCTCATCATTGCAGTCAATTTCCTGGGCATCTTCTTCCTGTGCTAAACATGGCAGGAGCCTGGAGCAGAGGAGCAGGATAGTAATTAGCCTCATGATTTAAGGTTCCCGAGAGAATTGGAGGGACTGTTTTGCCAACTACAGGAAAGCAACTCAGAAGCTGCTTTTAGCAGCCTCCAGTTTCTGACCTCTCCTGCCTCTGCTTTCACTGCCTCACCACTTCAGTCCCTATTTGGATTACTGCAGTCACCTCGTGTGTGTCCTCTTCCCAGAGAACAAACAGGATTCTGCTCAAGGTCCAAGCAGGTATCTAGCTGGAGCATTTCAACATGGGGTTGTTGACCTGCTTGTGGGCTTTTGGAAAGAATGTGGGAGTGCAGAGCACATTTCTAAAACATTGCCCAACTCTCCACAGTGACTTACAGCAGAAACCAGTAAAAGAGCAGCTAAAACCAACAACCACTTCCAGTATCCTCTTGCTAATCTTCGCCCAGCTACAAAGGTCTCTATCTATGTGAACAATGAGGAAGTGTACAAACACCTCCTACACAACATTGCTTGTGGCATGTTGGGTGCACAGACACAGGGTTTTGTCAGCTCTTTGTGTTCTTGAAAAGTGCACAAACATCAGCCAAGTGCCGGGAGCTCCACCCAGGACACTGGCTCATCTGTCAAACCATGGGCATCCTGTCTGGCCTCTGGCCATGCCAGCCTCTCTGCTGGGTTCTATTAGTCTCTGTGAAGAAGGGGAAGGGCCAGCAGATTCTTGGCAAATTAAAGTGCTTGCCTCAGAGACCTGAGGCTCACAACCATAGTCTGAAGCCGGGAGTTCACAGGAAACCTCTGGATGGTGACACACATTTGTAATCCTGGCATTCCTACTTTCAACCTGGAGAGGAAGGCCAGAGAATCAACAGGAAGTTTAGGTGCCCTGGGGTGTGAAAGCAAGGAAAACAAGGAGACCTGTCTTACCAAGGTGTCTGGTGAGGCACCCACTCCTGAGAGCTCTCTGACATCCACATGTGGGCAGTGGCTCTTGTGTGCTTGCCCACAGACATTCTCAACCTTTCTCTGACTCTCTCATAAATACACACAAAAAGAAGAAGAAGAAGAAGAAGAAGAAGAAGAAGAAGAAGAAGAAGAAGAAGAAGAAGAAGAGGAGGAGGAGGAGGAGGAGGAGGAGGAGGAGGAGGAGGAGGAGGAAGAAGAGAGAGAGAGAGAGAGAGAGAGAGAGAGAGAGAATAAAAGAAAAAGAAAAGAGGGAGGGAAGGAAGAAAAGAAAAAGAGAAAGAAGAAATAAAAGTAAAAAAACCTCAAAAGTTGAATTCTGTGTGGTTGATGGGAATTTCTAGTTGGAGATGGAGTCTCCCTGTGAGGCCTAGAGGCCTGGAGCAGGGTGTTGTCAATGTAGGTTAAATGTTGAGCTTATAGAAGTGTGGCAGGAACAGGCACTGGGTCAGAGCTCCTAAGTGAGACTAATGTGACTACCTGTGACTTCCTATGTGACTGTCTGTGCTGATGTGTGCAAACATGCCAGTGTGCATGAGTTTCATGCTTGGCTGAGTGTGTGCCTAGACCTCCACGTGTGCATGTCTGGGTGTGAATGAGTGTAGATTTGTAATGTATGTATGTACGTATGTATGTATGTATGTATGTATGTATGTGTGTGTATGTATGTATGTGTGTATGAGTTAGAGTCACAGAACCTTCCTAACAAGGTTTCTTCCCCTGAGCAATGTGAAAGTCATAATATCATAATGGTATTGTTTTAGGGTTTTCACAGAAATCATTCTATTTGAAGCAAGTTTTAGAAGTAAAACCTGAGACACTTAAGCCTTCATGTAACCGAAACAGCCCAATGACACAGGTCACAGAAGCAAAGACAAGAGACGGCAGGAGTTGAAGAGAAAATAAGGCAGAGAGTACAAGTCTACAACTTCTGTTTCCCCAAAGTGGAATGTCAAAGTAAAGAATTTCTACAGTTAGAAAGTTTATATAAAGCTGGGTGGTGGCGCACACCTTTAATCCAGCACTTGGGAGGCCAGCCTGGTCTACAGAGTGAGTTCCAGGACAGCCAGGGTTACACAGAGAAACCCTGTCTCAAAAAACCAAAAAAGAAAAAAAAAGAAAAGCTTGCCAGGCATCGGTAGCACACACCTTTAATCCCAGCACTTGAAGGCAGATGCTGGCTGATCTCTGAGTTCAAGGCCAGAATGATCTTCAGATCTGCAGAATGAGCTCCAGGAAAGCCAGGACCACACAGAGAAACCCTGATTCAATAAACAAACCAACCCAAAACAAAAGAAAGCAGAGTTCTGCAGCAGGCTGAGGAATGCATCTAATACGATCAAACTTGTGACCTGTTCTCCAAAAGCAGGAATGGTGGACAGATCTGTGTTGAGACAGTATCTACTTTCTAACATGCAAAATTACCACAGACACTTGTAAAAGGTTGCACAAAGCTACTGCATTTATAAGAAGCACAAAAGTGACA